ATATATTTCCCTGTGCTATACAGTATAATCTTGTTTATCTATTCTACAGTTTTGAAATCCCAGTCTATCCCTTCCCACCCTCCCCTCTCCTTGGCAACCACAAGTTTGTATTCTATGTCTGTGAGTCTATTTCTGTTTTGTATTTATGCTTTGTGTTTTTTTCACAAAGTCTAATATTAACCATTTCATTTTGAATACTTTTTCTCGGAACACTTTGAAACACTTTGATGCCACTCATCCCCTCCTGATTTATGTGCTATTGTTATCTATTTTTTTCTGGCTTTATTCCTAAAAGTTAAACACTATTATTATTGTATATATTAATATATACAGTCAGTTGATAATTTACTTATGTATTTGCCAATTTCTGTGCTCAGAAATTATTTCTTTTTGGATCTTAGGCCAAGATCCAAAAAGGAGTAATTTGGCATCCTTTTCCTTTTTCCTTAAATAACATCCCTTAAAATTTCTCTTGGTAGTAAGCTTTCATTTTTCACTTACCAGAAATTGTCCTTATTTTGCCTTTATCTTGAAAGATCATTTTCTGAGTTGATAGTTATTTTTTATCAGCACTTCAAATATATGCCTCCATTGATGCTGTTGAGTCTGCTCATTGTTGCTTCATAGGCAATTTATCAAGTTGTAGTTCCTTTTTTTTGACTCTTTTTTTTTAATTGAAGTATAGTTAGTTTACAATCTTGTGTCAATTTCTGGTGTACAACACCACATTTCAGTCATACATGGGTATACATATATTCATTTTCATATTCTTTTTCACCGTAAGCTACTACAAGATATCGAATATAGTTCCCTGTGCTATACAGGATAAACTTGTTTATCTATTTTATATATACCAGCCAGTATCTGCAAATCTGAAACTCCCAGTTTATCCCTTTCCACTCCCTTTCCCCCTGGTAACCATAAGTTTGTTTTCTATGTGTGTGAGTCTGTTTCTGTTTTGTAAATAAGTTCGTTTGTCTTTCTTTCTTTTTTTTCTTTTCTTTTCTTTTTTTTTAGATTCAAGTTGTAGTTCCTTTTAATAATGGTCTGAATATTCTGTCTGGCTACTTTGTTTCTGGTGTCCTATAGTTTCATTACAATATGTCTAGATGTGGATTCTTATTTGTCCCCTTTGGTCCTTCATAGATCTATAGATTCATTTGTTTCATAGAAACAAATTTTATGGAAAACTCTTAACTATTCTCTCTTCATTCTATCTAGGACTCTATTAAATTTTATTAGATCTTATTCTGTCTATGATACCTGTTAACTTCTATCAGTTATCTATTGCTACATAATAAACCACCCTAAAACTTAGTGGCTAAAAAAACACCATTTTATTTGTTCAAAAGTTCATGGGCCATTGCTTTGGACTGAACTCCCCTGTAACTTATACGACAGCAGTCATCTGACAGACCCGTGGGGGCTGGAGGATCTGATATGTCTTTGCTGACATATTTGGGGGTTTGCAGTCTGTTGATTCAGGTGCTTCAGTTCTCCATGCGGACTCTCCAGGAGGCTAGCTCAGGCTCATTCACATTAAGGTTTCAGGGTTCCAACTGAAGCCAAAAAAGGGCAAGCTCCAAAGCGCACTTTTCAAGCCTCTGTACGTGTTCCATGTGCCAAAGCTATTCAAATATCCAAGCCCAACTTTAAAGAGTAGAGACATACACTGGTAGAATGCATGCTTAGCATGTAGGAGGTCCTGGGTTCAATCCCCAGTCCCTCCATTAAAAAATATATAATTAAAGCTAATTACCTCCCCTCTAAACAAATTTTTTTAATTAAAGAAAAAAAGAGTAAAGACATAAATTCTAGTAAATTGATGGGAGGAGCAGCATAGTCACGATGCAAAAGTTTGCGCATACAGGGACAGGAAGGATTATTGTGACCATCTTTGCAAATAAGCTATCACAAATCTCTTTCATATTTTGCACTTCCCTGTATCTCTGCTGAGATGTGAGTATTTATATTTGGTTAAGTCACTATATGAAATGCAGCCAAATGCAATTCTGAATGATATAGAAGTGCATAACAAATTTATTTTTTTACCTAGTTTGTAATTAACTAGAATGGACTATTACTACAACAAATAAATCCATGTATAATGACTTAAACAAAATTTTATTTCTCCTGTAACAGTACTGGGCAAGTGAATAGGTCCTCAGGGCAGTTTTCATCCATGTGGTCAGTCAGGGACCAAAGCTGATGGAAACTGCCATCTTCAACATGTGACTTCCAAGTTTGCCGTAGACGTGGTCTCCATCACAGCCAGCTGGAGGGAAGTTTTTATGGGCTAGGCTTGGAAGTGGCACACATCATTTCAGCTCACATTTTATTGGCTAGAAAGCAGCCACCTAGTCACACCTAACAGCAAGGAAGGCTTGCAAATGTTGCCCAGCTGAGGGCCCAGAAGAGAAGAACAAGGATATAGGTGAGTAGCTAGCAATCACTTCTTCTACCAAAAGGAATTCCAAAATCTTAGAAGTTAAGTATAATATTATTCAAGGAGAAACTCATGAAAATGGTTTAAAATGTTACATAAAAATCTAGGACAAAATTAAATTTGGCTTTGACACTCATTAACTATGAGACCTTGGTCAAATTATTTGACTTCTTTAACCTCTGTTTCTTTCTTCACTAACATAATAGACATAATAATAGTATTTACCTCATAGAATTGTGGATTTTAAAAAGTGAAATGATGCATAAAAACTCTTAGTAGGCACTCAGTAGCATATAGCAAGTACTCAATAGATATAAGCTATCAATATTGAGAATATTATAATGGTACTTGTTGAGTCACTGGTAGACTATTGTCTGAATATCAAACATATGATTGTCTACCAATGCCAGACATAATTAATAACATTAAAATTTTTCTAAAAATTAGAGTAAATATTTTATCAGCAAATGTATGTTTTCGGATGGAAAATATAACAGTGTTTTCAAATATGAGTTACTTAGATTATATAAAACATCACAAGGCATTTGAGTCTTTCAGGAAGTATTTCCCAAAAAAGACCTAAGAAGTTGACAGCTATTCAATCAAAAGGAAAAGGACCCTGTGGTAGTCACTGTTCTCACAATCTTGAGGCCAGCCTTTCACATGTTGTCCTGTCCAGTTCTGCCTGTAATTGGCAAATTACATTGATTTTTGTTAAAAGTTTAGTGAATTGACACTTTGCACATCAAACAGAACAACTTCCCAGACATCCCTTTAACCAGGGAGCCCTTTCCTTCCAAGATCCCCTAGGAGAGCTTCATGGCAGTTGCCACTTCCCTCCCACACCACCTCTTACTTACTCACCTCCCCGCTACACCTCTAGTTTTCCTCTTTCCTATTACCCTAGATCTTCCCTTTTGGGTCACTTGGTCACTTTCTTCTGTAAACAATATAACTTTCATGTTTCTGTTGCAATCCATTCTCCAAAACAAAGGGGCCTCCTTGGAAAGTTTGAAAAGGACATATTATACGTAACTATTAATATTTTTGCAATCACAGTTGAAAACAAAGCTTAATTTGGGAAATTCAACTTCCAAGCAGCCTTAATCTGAACCTCTTGGTCACTCCTGTTCATTCACTGAACACTATGGCATCTGATAATCTCCTCACGCTGGCTCCTGCCCTCATCCTTTGGCCTCTCAGTTCAAGGTCCTTGTCTAAAGTGACCTGCCCCTGCACTCCATGTAAAGCCCTCCAACTCCTATGGCTGCACCTGAAGATGCTCCACCTTCAAAGTTCCTCCCTCAGAACAATTCCTCCTACCTTTCCAGCTCACTGAGTCTCCTCTGTTCCCACCATAACCATTTGCCAGACTCATCAGGACTTCCAGTCCATTAGCTTTTTACTTTTCCTCTCTTCATGAGTCCCCCTCTTGTTGTCTTAGGCTCAAACCCTATCATCGCACTCAGTCTCTTGCAAACGACAAACACACTTTCACTGTGTCTGGCAAAGTGTTATTCTCGCAAAAAGCCTCCTATCTTTCTCTGTGCCTACCCCAGCTCTGTTGCCGCTGAAGAAAAGCACCTAATGGGGCAAACGTGTAACACTGAAAATTTGAGTTCTAGCTTCAGTCAGGCCCCTAACATTGCCCCCAGTTCTCCCATTTCCCTGTAGTCAATTTATTCTCCAGGAAGTGTTTTCTATTCAACTTTCAACCCTGCCACCCCCACTTCATTCTTAGTATTTGATCTTCCTGTTTTTTTCTGAGGTAATAGTTCAGACTGAAGCCCCCAAAGCTTCTGCCATCAAAGTTACAACCTACCTGCATCTATGTCCATTCTTTGTTCCCCTGAGACTAACAGAGATGTCCCTCCTCCTGTGTTCTGAGTTCTAATGGCCTCTTGTCTTCCAAGAATCTTAGATTATCCATTATTTTTCTTTCTCTGTTCTGTTCCCTCCCATTAACATTTACAAATATTCAAATCTCTCAACTTAAATTCCTGGGCCTTATTTCCCAACAAACTGCTGCTCCCCTCTCTTCCTCTTAGCAGCCAAAGTTCTAGGAAAAAATATCTAAGATCAATGCCTCAATTTCCTCTCCTCCCATGTATGCTTTTTAAACCAACTTTGGCCCCTCCCACCTCTTCAAAACAGTGATGGCTCTGAAGTGACCAGTGAGCTCCATATTGCTAAATCAGATGAACATTTTCTGGCCCTCACCTCCCTCGACTCTCAGCGACAGTCAGACCTATCAACCACTCTTTTTTCTTCCCTTACTCTGTCTTCCTTTGGCTTCCATAGCTACCCCCTCTTATTATGACAACTTCTCAGCACTTTGCTAGTTCTTCTTTCAATACTCTTTTAGATGTTAGGGTTCCCCAGGAATTTGTTTTACTCTTTTTCTTCCCCTCAGTTTGTACTTTCTCTAAATGTATACACACACACACATATGGCTTCAAATATCAGTTTTTCATGGGTTCAGATATCAGTTATTCAAACTGTGGTTCATGGGCCAGCCTGTATCAGGATCACTTGGAGAGGATGAAGCGGGGCATGTGGTGGAAAGGGGTGTTAAAATTCAGATTCCAAGGCCCCATCAAAGTCCTTCTAAATTAACTCTGTGGGTAGAGACTGGGGATCTGCATTTTAAATAAATTCTCCAATGTCCCATGACTATAGTTTGCAACCACTAATTTGACTTGTCACATTAACAAGGACAGCTCAACATCTCCACCTGCTGACTTATTAAAGCCATTGCCTTATTTTCTCAAATGTTAGGTAACTTAAAAATGTGAAGAAAAAAAAAAGGAACAAAATAGGAAATCTACTTCAGGATGACACCTGCACCCCAATGTTCATAGCAGCACTATTTACAATAGCCA